TAACGATCGCAATACTTTTCTTTACCATACTGGGTGTCCCGGAAGTAGAGGAATATATTTAAGAGCTTGATGGTAGACATCAAGATCTAAAGACAAGTTCATATAAATAGTTGCCCAATATCCATCAGAAAAGTCGGAAATTTAAGATTTGTGCTTTGTTTTAAGCGAGTCACGTTTCTTTTTTTTTGTTTGGTAAATAGGAAACGATATCTTAAAAAATATTTGATTTAAGTAATTAAACATGGCTCTATTTTACCTCAAATGAAAGTAGATTTTATCATTGTCAAAACAATTTAAAGGGGGCTATTGAGCAGACAAATACAGCTCAGTTCCGTTTAAAAAAGATCATAAATTATTTGTGATTTTTTTATAACCCTTCAACTGTACTACGAATGTAAGGGTAAATACCCCACTTTCAAAAAAACTTCCTGTTTTAATTAGCTTGAAGTCCATATTAATTAAGTAGAGGTTTTATTAGGATAAATTTTAAGATTCATCTGAAGTTGTGTAAAGAAATTATGTGATTTCGTACCCAGACACCTTGTTTTTCCGTGTTATGGAATGTATTGTAATAAATATAATTGCCAAAAACACATTTTATTTATATATGTAAAAAATTTAAAAATAATGATTTTTCAAATATATTTCACGTAAAGTGGTCATGAAATTGTGTTTTTCTCCTAGATTCCGTAATAGGAATTGATATGTATTTATCAGTAACAAACTTAATGCTTCTTACTAAAATGTTGGTTCAAAATAAATAAAACTACTTATTGCATGCATTATTTTCATGAAAACGAAAATACTAGTGCTAGTTTTGAACCAAATGTGGGGTAAAGATAGTACAGCTGAAGATTGATAAAAAAATTACAAGTAATTGCTCACTTTTGTAAACAGAACTTAGCTATATTTAGTTTGTAAAAGTCCTCTTTAAATAGTTTTAACAATGGCGAACTCTACTTTAAAGTAAATTTTGTCTAGTTTACTATGGAGCTTTGTTCAATCAAATATTTTTTAAGTTATCGCTTTCAATTTAACAAAAAACGTGACTCGCTTAAAAAAAATACAAATATTAAATTTCCTACTTTTCAGATAGGAAATTGGGCAATTGTTTATATGAACTTGTTTGTAGATCTTGATGCCTACCATCAACCTCTTAAATATTTCCCTCTACTTAAGGGACACCAGGTATATTTCATATATAGCTAATAATAATATTTCATTCATAACCATAATTGTATATATTGTTAATGTTATTACTTTTTGAATATAAAACAAAATTATATGTCATATTATTAATCTCGCCTCTTTGATGTTTTCAATTCTATCGTGTAATCTAACACACATTATTATTTTATATTCACTTACCTACATATGGAATATATAGTAAGGCAAAGTATTGCGATCGTGAAAATTTTCAAAAACGCGTTTTTAACGAAAATACATGTTTTGAGATTCCCTGAGTCCAAATAACCAAGTTCCGCAAAATGGTGTATGCGTGTGTATGTGAACAGTCTAGCTCAAAAACGAAAAGTCGTACTAAACTGATATTACGTATTTAAGATAGGTATATGCCTTAGATGTTACAGCAATTTTATCCTTAAAATCGGCTAACCGAAAGTGCCACTTTATATCAACGGTGAAATACATTTTTATAATTTCCTCAAAAACAGCTCGAACGATTTTGATTAAACTTAGTGTATCATTGCACTAGTGGATCCAGGATTTAATTTTGGGGGCTTCAGCCGGAAAGCTTTTTTTTTTCATAAAAATTACGATAATTACTTTGGAAAAAAAGAAAGAAACTAACTATCTATATGAAATGACGTTTAAGTGATTCCTTAAGTCCTTTTAAATGTAATTACACGAACAATAATACTTTAAGAGATAATTTTTTAATATATTTTTCCATCAAACATGGTTATATTTTACCATTTTGGGGGGGAGGGGAGCTTCAGCCCGAAAGCCCCTCCCCGTAAATCCGCCCGTGCATCATTGTATAATTAAGTGGTCTTTAATATCATTGAGATCTTATCCCCATTAATGTCATTTTAAAGGGCATAAATGCCCAATGTTCATTTACGTTTTCGTCTGATGTACCTTTAATATGGTTTAGTTTGAAAATTTAACTCTCTTTTATTGACAGTAACTATAAAATATGGCTAAATGTAACTTTTGTGTGAAAGAATTCGATAGATAATTGAATAAAGAGGAAAAAATGCTTATCCAGGTCGAAAATGAATATCCTAATATCCTTCCAAAATACACTCTAGAAGATAAGAAAAATAATTTCTAATATGTAGTCAAAAAGAATAAAGTTTACGTTCTCCTGGAGACATCATCAATTGGCAATAAAGCTAAGGCTATAAGAAGAATTTCCCTGACAAACTTCCATTGGTTTCCCAAAAAAAATCTAATTACCAAGTGACTTGACTTATAATCTTGTCATTGAAATGGCAAAAATTAAACGATTGCTATACAGCAAATACAGAAGACTAATTGTCTTTGCAGATTGTAATATTTTACTTCAAGCAAAAAAAAAATTAAATAAACAGCCGTGTCATAACGAATTGTTTGTCGATGAAATTCCCACGGAAGATAAGGTTCCAATAGGTCATAGCTATGATAAGATATTCCGATATTAACATCGAAAGTGATCATGAAAATAGTCCTAATTATACAGATAATAAAAATAGCGGAAATGTAGATTTAAAATAGAAATTCGTTTAAAGTACCTTACTTTAATTTATTTATTTGTTTGAGTGTTTCGACCACTGGGGTTACACTTACAAATTAAATTAACACTTACAAATTAATTTACACTGAAGTATCCTTAGTCACCTTTTTTTTTAAATTTTCTAAATATACCTTTATTTCATACTAAAAGTTCACTCATTTGGTGACGGAAAGAAATAGAGCCAAGAAAAAATTTCTGACGAAATTTTTAAAAATGCTTACAGCTAACAAATCTTAGTTATTCTTGAAGTCCTATTAAATGTAATCACACGAACAATAATAATTTAAGAGATGATTTTTAATATTTTTTTCTACAAAACATGGTTATATTTTACCATTTTGGGGGCTTCAGCCTGAAATCCGCCTGTGCCATTAATTGATTTTTCTGTTTAATGTAAATCATTTATTTTTTTTACAAAAATAATTAATGTTAAAATTATTAAGCGACTTGGAAGTATTTTTAAAAAAAACAATACATATAATTATGCATTTTATTCTACAATAAATAATATATTTTCTAATCGTATAAACAAAGATACACTCAATTGTTAGAAATATATAGTTTTTATTCTGATTCATATCAACATACTAATAACCCTTTTGTTTGATGATTATAACTTAAAACTTGGTGAACTATGTTATCATAAAACCACAATTCAATTTAATGTTTTTGTCTCTTTAATTGTATTAAATTATCCAAAACATCAACAAATTATAACTAAAAAAAAGGATAATTCCCAAGTATTAAAACATATCATTTTAATATGTGTATCACAATTATTCAATGAATTCGATGTTACTTTTAAAAAATTGTTGTGATGTGTGCTACACCCTACTCTACTTTGAGAAAAAAATAACTGCAAAAAGTTTACTTTTTAAACTAAAATAAATTTATATCAATTAAAGCAGTGAGGCATGGAATAGACAAAATTGTTAATAAAATCCAGATTTAATGTTTACATTCTTGAATCTAGATTTGTTTTAGATGTTGTCCAACTTTATTTAAAACATATTTTAGAAAAATACTAACATCATAAAAAAATTGATGGAAGGACTAAACTTCCAATAACCTGACAATTCAATAATGGTATAAATCAATTAAGAATAATACATGAGTATGGATAAGTCCATTATATAAAATATTTGTGAATGATAATAAATAAAGTTTGCATAAAAAATTGGAGTACAAATATTTAATACCAAGCCATTTTCTTGGTTTTTAATTACTATTTTTTGAGACAGATTGCAATATTTATCAATCAACAAATCATTTTAAAAAAAAAATATGAATCCTTTACGTTAAGATGATTTGAATGTTAGATTTTATTTATACTCAATTATTTGTTAATCTTCAGTATACTTTTTAATCCTGAAAACCAGTTTTTAAAAAATGAATGAAAGAATCTTTTTTCCTACCTCTGTATTAAAATAGAAAAAAAAAAAAAAGAAATAGGCAGTTAAATAGAAACCTGTATTAATTATTGAAGTATCAGAAACAGATGCTTTATCTAAAACCAATTACCAAATTGTATATTGAGTATGGACTGTTAATATTTTTTTTAAAAATTCGCTGTTTTCTATTGAATGTTGTAAAAGTAAAATTTTAATCAAAGAATATTGTTTATTAAGTTTAAATACTATTAAAATCAAGTATACAGTGAAATAAGTGTAAGAGCAAGGATAGAAAATTTCAAAGATATTAAAACATAAAATTAAATTAGGAGCTGCATTTTAAACACAAAAATAAGCCCCACTGAAAGCGGAAAATAAAATAAGGACTATTTTATGAAGAGAAAAAGACACTATAATAAGTCATCAGCGTTCGTAAGCTGTATTGTCTGGTTAAATGAGTGAAGACCTGAGAAGTTAAGCAAAAATCATTGTTGAGTAATGATATATAAATCGATCTGCCACAAAATTGTAACTTTTGTTATTTAAAAAAAATGTTTTATTTTTCAATTATACTGAAGTACGTATGTAATTTCAAATTTTATTTTATACATAATCCACTATTTTAACTTCATGCTGAGTGAACAAAACCTTAAAATAACAAAAGTTATGCAATTAAGTTTCTAATTAACTTCCCAGAAAAAATATCTGGTGTGACCTCTCACAGGACCTTTCTTACCATTTAGTGTGCTAAGTCCAAGACAAAAATCATGTTATCTGATATTAGTTTTGTAAACAAGTTTTCACTACTTTCAGTACCAAAAATCTATTTATCTAAAGTTTAGAAAATCGAGGAATAACAAATAAAAACATTTCCTTCCAAATTAATTCTTTCTTTAAAAACAAATATAATGTTTTACCATTATTGGCTTAAAATAGATAATATATAATAAACAAATTCGAATGATGGTGACAATGGCAGTCAAGCACAGTAGGGTGAAGGTCACGGAGTGTTGTATTTTCCAATTTTATCTTGGTAAGTTATATTTTATTTTATCACATAAAAATATTAAGGTTACAACTTAATAGAACAACTCTGAGCAATATAGGTTTGAAGAAAATAAACATAAGATTATTTTTATTAATAACATTTCAATTATTATCTATTCACATTATTTACAAATAGAAAACCTTAGAGAAAAAATTGTTAAGACTATTTAAATTACATTTATTTTTCTTCTGTTTCTAACACGGTTCCACTGTATGCGAGATCCCAATAATGTTCCACCCCATGCTTTCTAAGCTGTTCTCTAGCAAGCTTCTCGGTAGCACAGACTTTAAATTTCATCTCTCCAAAGTGCCTTGTAGGAGTCATACCCTATTAAAACAAAAAGTATTATATAAATTTTAATATAGCAATTGTTAAATAAAGTCAACTATGAGAACTTATACAACATAATAGATGATTTGAAGTTTTCTAGAATACCCATATTATATTTTTCCTGCTAGAATGAATAAGTAAAAGGTGACAAAAAAAAAACCAAAGGTAAGATTCAAATTTAAAACATTAATAATACAGAAAATTTAACAAAGATAAACCATAAAGCCTTTTACACTTAATTTTCATTATTTTCAAAACATTCGACTATGTTTTTGGCTTGTTTGCCCATTGTTAAATCTTGATATTCTCTACAATATAGCAAAACAAGGATTATCCAACATAAATGAAGAATCCAAAATAATTATATTAAAAAAATTGTGCACACATCACACAACTTCCACTTACTGCTTTACATTGAATTAACAATAATTTCTAGTAAAATTTTTCGAAATGCTTTTTTAATAGAGATAAACCTTAAACAACACATTTGTGAATTTTGGTTATATTTATTAATGCAAAAACTATATTAAAAACACAAACCTTAATTATTATAATGACGGTAGGCAATAAAAACCTCATAATTCTATCAATTTATTTGAAACACAACTCCAGTATCTGAACTCAATACAAATAATTGAGAATGAAAATACATACATATTTTTAAACAATAAATAAGGATTGTACTACATAGTAAAAATTATTGAAACTAAGTTTTTATCACTTTAATATGTATTAAAGCTCTTATTTTCTTCCTTTTCAAATTTAATAAAATAGAGTTATGAACTTTTCATTAGCTACCATTGAGGAATAAATTTCAAACATTGGGCATTTAAGCACAGTAAGGCAACATCAATGAGGATAAGACCTAGCTAATATTAAAACCCACTTAATTGTACATTGATATACCGAGTTACTTTAAAATCATTAGAGCCATTTTTGAGAAAATAGTAAAAATTTGTAAAATCTATTATATAAAATGGCACTTTCAATTAGCTAATCGTAAAGGAAATGTTGCTGTAACATCTCAAGCATATGTTATTATGACATACTTAAATACGTTATTTCAGTTTCATGTGACTTTTGGATTAGAATTAGGCTGTTCACATACACACAGTCACACACCATTTTGCAATACTTTGTTATTTGGACTTAGGAGAACTTAAAAACATGTATTACCATTCAAAACTCAGATTCGATGTTTTATCACGATCGCAATACTTTTCCTCACAATATATTGGGTTGAAGAAAAAATAATTTATTTTTTTAAATATTTTACAAAGAGAATTTATTTATATAAATTTCAAACACTAACCAACAATATGTATGTTGGTTTGATCAATGATCTTTTGCCAATTTTCTGGTAAAATTGTAGGTCTGTCACTGTAGAAGTTCTGAGATTTCTGAGCAAAAACTGAACCAAATGATTTTCATAATCCTCTTTTGATACCAGCTTTACACCATTAAGAGAGTTCTATGGAGACTGAAAAAAATGGTAGTTAGATGGGGCGAGGTTCAGGCTATTCAGTGGATGCATCAAAACTTTCCTTCCAGCCAAGCTCTCTCAATCTTTGCCATGTCATTAAAATAGTGTGTGGTTCGGCGTTGTTGTATTAGAAAACAACACCTTTCCTAATAATCAATTTTCTTGAATTGCCTGCTTCAATCACACTAATTGTTTACACTAATGGTTTGATTAGATTTGAGCGGCTGATGATGAACAACTCCTTTCGAATCCCATTAAATACTCAGCATCACTTTATATGGCTGATTATCAATCTGGGCTTTGCCACTGTTTGTGAAGCTTCTTTGGGCTTTGATTAAGATCTTTTTCGCACTAATTGCAGTACATCGTAGAACCTTGGAATAACCTTCGAGCAAACCCTTTTCTGGAAAAACCATGTATCCGATATTTCTCGCCGTGCTTTTTCCATTTTAAAACGACTAAATTACCTCCGGCGCCTATTTCCATTTGACTAATCTCCATAAACTCCTGACTATTTCTTATACTCCTTCTTAAACTCCTCACTTTGACTACAGCTGTACGTACATGGGGACATCTCCGGGGATCTCGAGGTGAAACTAAAACAATTGATGAATTGCCTTGTACGATTTATCTTCGGGACCCCAAGGGACGTCTCTGTTTCTTGTTATTATGAAGAGCTGAAATGACTTTTTCCTTCCTACTGACGTATTTCAAAGCATCCTTCCCCTTCCAAGTCATTCAATCCTGCTTCCCTCCATTCCACATCACCGACCTCCTTCAATTCAAATCCTCTGTCCACTCCCACAAAATTCGTTCCCTGTCTTCAGATTTGTATAAAAGATCCCACTGAACCGCTGCTTTAGACAGATCTTTCATTATTCGATCCACATCCCTATGGAATTCTATCCCATCCTGCATACGTCACTCCAATACCCTCCCCACCTTTAGTCCTCATAAAATTGTAAAATATGTACATAAATAATTAGTTTGTTTTAAATACTTTATTTCATTTTTTTCTCTCTTAATTGAAGTTTGAAGGTAAATAACATTTTTTTCTTTTATTTATTCATTATATAAATCTGTTTATTTTGTAATTATTTTCTGAGGCTCAAAAGCCCACATTTCTATCTCTGTACATTATTCTAAAGGGACTAGTCTCAGAATAAATAAAGCATTATTATTATTATTACATCATCACAATTTCCATTACCCGTAATCATTTGTTTTAAAAATGGCTCAATTTTGTTTCGTTGCAGCAGTGATTCATAAATGAAAACTCGGTTCATTATATTTTTCACTGTTGAATTAACAGTGAAATGTGGAACCCAAGTATCAAGCTTCTTTTGGTATCTAAGCTTATGTAAATGACTCAAAACTGTTTCTGATCGATGTATAATTCCATAACGATGTAGTGAGTTGAAATATGTCAGTCTACCTTGTTTATTTGAAGATTTTCATCAAATTTATCAACATTTGGCAGGCCAGAGCAAGTTTTATTTTAAACATCAAATTTCCGGAGTGAAAACAAGCAAACTAATTTTCGATGAGCCTGCACTGAATTTTCTCTTTCCAGTCAAGTGCTGCTGTCATCCAGCTTCGAACATCAAGCAGATTTCTCATTTACACCATCAGCCCATTGTAATTAGGGGTGGCCTCTTGCTCGTTTTCCATATAATTCTTCATTGAGGAGTATCCTAGGAATTTCTTGTGCATTCATCCAGGGCACATGACCCGCCCATCGAAGCTTGCCGAGCTATATCATTTTAACAACATCTGTTTCCTTTAATATAGAGTGCAGTTCATTGTTTGTTCGCCTTCTTCACGTTGCGTTTTCTCTTAGTGAACCATAAATATGTCGCAAAATTTTTCTTTCAAATATAAAAAAGTTTTGCTCATCACTTTTAGAAACAGCGAATGTTTCCTATCTGTATGTAAGTACAGGCCTGATGAGTGTCTTGTACAATTAGCAGTCCAAAATTAGCAGATGCTATTCTTCTTCTTATTTCAGTCGAAATATCATTATTTTCATTTACTTGGGAGTCCAGATATATAAATTCACTTACACGTTCAAAGGTGAAGGAGCCAAATTGTACGGTAACTTCATCAGGAGGGTTCATTTTGTTGACCATGACATCTTTGTCTTAGGCCCGCAAAAGAAATTGAAAATCAAATGTTCATAGAATTTTTAGTTATTGTTCATACAGGCTTTTGCAGAGGGGCTGTTGATATATTCCTTCTAGATCTAGATCATGTTATAGAGAAAACCAGTACATACTTATTATACAATAGGGAGAAAGAACAAAAATATCATTTATGATGAACTGTAAATTATTTTTGAATAGTAGAAACCACATTGTGTTTGCAACAAGTATGGTTAATATAAAACTAAAGGCTGGAGCTTTTTTTTTTTTTTTTTTTGTACTTTCCTTTATTAATCTGCACCTGCCAATTACAACTATCTTCAATCAATAGATAGACTGGCGTAATCATTAGATGAGAAATAAATGTAATAATAGTGCTAAATACAATAAAACATAGAAGAGACTTAATAGGCGAATAGAAATAAACATAGAACCCCTTCCACTAATTTTGAAATCTATTCAGGGCTCATTACCGCGTATGGGGAGCGTCCCACGGGTGACGGATGTGGGGATGGTCGGTGGAAATTCCTTGGAAGTTCCTCCCGGCTAAGTCCGATGGATTCGCTGACCAACAATGAGAGGGGACCTCCAGACCAGAGTTGGGCGTTAGCGCGCTAATTTTTAACTAGCTAACGTACCGCTAAACAGCTAAAATTAGCGGCGCTAAATATTACGCTAATTTAGCTTCCAGCTGTTTTAGCGCAGATAACTTTAGCGCTAAATTAGCTATTAGCGGAAACGAACCGCTAACTTTTAGCTTAAGCTAAATTAACTATTAACTTAACTAAAAGCTAACTTAGCGCTAACACTAGAAGAAATTTTATTTATTTCATTTTATTAATTGATATTAGGATCGACTGTTATGTAATCAGGGGCGCTTTTTATGAAAATTGCCCCGGGCACCGACTTTTTGTAACTTTTCTGATATAATCGATATATGGGTCGACTATTAGTTTTTGGGGGGCGCTTTTTATGAAAATAATGTCGGATTTTAGGTGTGACCTCTCCCCCCCCCGGGCACCGACTTTTTTTAACTTTTTGGATTAAGTCGATATCATGGTCGACTCTTATGTTTTGGAGGGCGCTTTTTATGAAAATGATATCGAATTTGAGATTGGGTCTCCCGGGTCCCAACATTTTTTTAACTTTTTGGATTAAATCGATATCAGAGTCGACTCTTATGTTTTGGGGGGCGCTTTTTATGAAAATGATATCGAATTCGGGATTGGACCCCCCGGGCCTTGATTTTTTTTTAATTTTTTGGATTAACTCGATATCATGGTCGACTCTTATGTTTTAGGGGTCGCTTTTTATGAAAATGATATCGAATTTGAGATTGGGCTCCCCAAGCCTCGACTTTTATTAACTTTTTG